TCTATTGCTGCCAAGAAAACCCCTAGACATATCCAAGAAGTTATGAAAGAGGTCCACACTTAAGCACTGTTAACATCACACATTTGAATAATCCAAAACAAGAAAATATTATTGGGTGATCCTGGGGGCAAAAGTCTTTACTGTCAGAGAAGCTACAATAAAATGTACAAGAAATAAATTTGCTCTCACCAGCATCACATAGACGCACTACTAAATGGGAATGTTAAAAACCAGCTTTCAAAAATCATGGAAATATAGTTAAAAGATATCTTGCAGGTCATTTAGCATAACCCTCTGTGCTTATTCAGTGCAGAATCCACTAGCATTGAGAGGTGATATAGTTCTCTGAAGATCTGAAGGAGAATTCACTACTTCACATGGCAGCCTGTCTCACTGACCAACAAGGACAGACAGATCCTTTTTATGTGTATTACTGCCAAGCCAGGTTTTCCACATCCAATACTTCAGTTTTACATATCTGGAACTTTCTCTCTCTTATCTAAAGTACTGGCCACCACTTCTAATTTTGCATCATATGCAAACTTTACAAGTGGTGCTTCAACCATTTCATCCAATCACTGACAAAAATGCTGAACAGCACAGGGCCCAGGACACCACATTATAGCAATCCACACTTCTGCCCAAACTGAAGTTGAGCCATTCATGATGTGAACCCATCTATCAGGAGTATCATCCAGCCCATATTGTACCATTTTATTAAGCAAAAATATGAAGCAGCCTGTCAAAGACTTTGCTGAGGTCCAACTACACTTTGCTAATGCCTGGCTCAATAGTATTAATTGTGAGAGGGATTTTGGAGTTGTAGTGGACAATCACTTATATATGAGCCAGTGGTGTGATGCAACTGCCAAAAAAGTCAATGCAACCCTAGGCTGCATTAATGGAGGGACAGAATCAAGATCACGTGAAGTGTTAATACCACTTTATAATGCCTTGGTGAGACCATATTTGGAATACTGCATCCAGTTTTGGTCACCACAACATTAAAAAAATGTTGAGACTCTAGAAAGAGTAGAGAGAAGAGTAACAAGGATGATTAGGGGACTGGAGGCTAAAACATATAAAGAATGGTTGCTGGAATAGAGTATGTGTAGTTTAATGAAAAGAAGGACTAGAGGTGACATGATAGTAAAGTTCCAGTATCTCAGGGGTTGCCACAAAAAAGAGGGGATCAAACTGTTCTCCAAAGTACCTGAAGGCAGGACAAAAAGCAATGGATGGGAACTAATAAAGGAGAGAAACAACCTAGAACTAAGAAGAAATTTCCTGACAGTTAGAACAATTGATCGGTGGACAACTTGCCTCCAGAAGTTGTAAATGCTCCAACACTGGAAGTTTTTAAGAAGAGATTGGACAACCATTTGTCCGAAATGGTATAGGGCTTCCTACCTGAGCAAGGGGTTGGACTAAAAGGCTTCCAAGGTCTTTTCCAACTCTGTCATTCTGTTATTATTCTGTTATTATTATTATTATTAACAACTCTGTAAAAGAAAGATACGGTTAGATTAGCACGAACGGTTTGTGACACACCCACACTGGGACTTGTTATTAATAACAAGCTTGTAAAGCACACACAAACATACTGCTTGATAATAACCTGTTTTTGCCTAGTTAGTATAAATGTCAAACAGACAAGTTTGTAGTTCTCTATACCCTCCTTCTCCCTCTTGATAAGGACTAAGTATTATCTTGGGGGCGCAATGGCTCAGTGGTTAAAGATGCTGAGCCTGTAAGCTGGAAATAGCAATAGCAATAGCAATAGTATTTAGATTTATATACCACTTCACAGTGCTTTACAGCCCTCTCTAAGTGGTTTACAGAGTCAGCATATTGCCCCCAACAAACTGGGCCCTCATTTTACCAACCTCGGAAGGATGGAAGGTTGAGTCAACCTTGAACCTGGTGACATTCGAACTGCCAAACTACAGGCAGCTGACAGGCAGCAAAAGAAGCCTGCAGTATTGCATTCTAACCACAGCGCCACCACAGAAAGCTGACAGCCTAGGTTCAACACCCAAGTGCCATGCAACAGGGTGAACTCCCATTACCTGCCCTAGCTCCTGCCCACCTACCAGTTCAAAAGCATGCAAATGCGAGTAGATAAATTGGTACCAATTCGGTGGGAAGGTAACAGCATTCCGTGCGTCTTTTGCATATAGCCATGCTGGCCAACAACCACAGAAATTGTCTTCGGAAAACATTGACTCCCTCAGCTAAAATATGGAGATGAGGATGTTCCCTAGAGTCAGATACCACTGGACAGGGAAAACCTTTACCTTTAAGTATTATCTTAACTTCAATTTGTCTATCTTCATCTCAGTTTCCTCATTCCCCCAGGGCTCCCAACAAGGGCTCCAGCTCCCTTATGGGAGAAGATAAACACAAAATAGGAGTGAAGAACTCTTGCCTTCACAATCACCAATTAACAGTTCATCACTTTCAACTTGCAATGGATTGTAGTGGATAAAGAGGATGGCCTTGAACGACAGAGGAAAGATTCACTATCAGGGTAACAATCAGATAAAGAAAAGCTGAGCCCAGGCCAAAGAAGAAATTATGAAAATGCCTCGGACAAGCCTAATATGACAGCACCCCCATCACCACCCCCATTTTCATGAAAACCAAAGCGAGAAGACAACACATTCAGATTTGTAAGATTCTGTTCCTACAGTGGTTCCAATAAAAATAGCTTAGATCTGCATGATCCTGAGTCTATTCTACCTGATACGGCTGATGTGGACCTCCAGTACACCATCCTTGTCTTTCCTTTTATTTTCAACAAAAGCTTAAAAAAATATTTTTTGTTGTTTTTGATACCTCATTCTGAGTTTTAGCCTGAAAGAACTTCTACAGCAGCAGTCACCAAACTTTTTGGCTCCACAGACTGGCGGCGGCGGCAAGGGAGAGGGGATGGTTTTATGCACACAACCTAACCCTGTGCATGTGCAAATAAAGCTTTGCACGCTCATCCCCCTCTTGTAATGTCCAATTCCCAATGGGCCACAGACCAGCACCAGTCAGCAGAGCAGGGATTGGGCATCTCAATTCTACAGCTTCAGAAAGACTATCTTCATTTGCTGTCCAGAGATTCAACAATACTTTTGGGTGTATCATTTGAAGATGGCAAGGAAGTAACAGGCAATAGAAAGAAAGCAGAGCTGCTTAACTCATTCTTTGCATTGATTGATTGTTTGCATTGAACCAAAAAGAAACAATATGGTAGTTTTTAGTGGATTTGAGTAATCTTGGTAACTTCTTCATCATGTTCTATATATAGATACCTGGAAATCAGCACACCTCACACAACATTACAGCAAGTCTGCATACAGCTTCCCCATATTCTGGCTATAAGCTTCCAGGAGTTGTTTCTTTAATGCAAAATAGCATGGACTTGATTTCCTTTTAATTTTCCTGGAATGTCCAAGTTTACTTTTTGAGACTTAGAGGAAGTAGCAAAGCCCCATATCTTTCAGCCATATCTTCAGCATCTTCTTGTTATACTTTTCCCCAAGTTCATACAAAGAAAGAAATTTAATATTTTCAAAAAAATGTTTCGACATAACAGAAGTCCTGGAAACATTTAAGGGTGGAACTGTAGCAAATTGATATAGCAAGCATTATTTATCAAAATGTGGCTATATACCGAACCCAAATTACTAATAAGTAATTTGACCAATTTACCTCAATTAGTAATAGAGTTAAAAGAAAAATCAAAATATTCATGAGAAAAAAACTACTTTCAAAATATCTAAAGTTGTACAAGTCATTTAGGAAAACCTGAAACAAATTTAAAAAATGTAAATGTTTTTGAAGAAGTTTGGACAGTTGTCTTTTTACCTATGCTATTCTAATGGTAGGCTTTACACTACATCTGTGCTTCCCCTCCTCATTATAAAGGGAATGAGCTCATCAGTTTTCAAAAGTCCTATTGGAGAGGGTTCCAGGACCACAGAAAGGTCAGCCAAGAACTGCACAAACTGGGCAACCACATTTTAGCACAGCACATTAAGCAAACCAGTCTTGGTAATGAGTTAATGGTTCAGTGTATTGTAAGACCTCCCCCCTCTCCCCAATGTAGGCTTTTGTATGTCAGAATAACAGAGTTGGAAGGGACCTTGGTCGTCTTCTAGTCCAATCCCCTGCTCATGCAGGAGACCTATACTAGGGATTCGAACAGCCGAACTGCGGACCTTTCTGATCGACCTTTCTGTCTTAGCCACTGAGACACTCAAGTAGGAGACCCTATACCATTTTAGACCAATGGCTGTCCAATCTCTTGTTAAAAACATCCAGCGATGGAGCAACCTGTAACTTCTGAAGGCAAACAGCTCCACCGGATTAATTGTTCTAACTGTCAGGAGATCCCTCCTTATTTCTAGGTTGGATCAATGAAATGCAGGCAAGCACTTGAACAAATCACTTTGGAAATCAGGTAACAGAGTTGGAAAGGACCTTGGAGGTCATCTAGTCCAACCCCCTGCTCACGCAGGAGATCAATACTAGGGATTCGAACCGCCGACCTTTCTGATCGACCTTTCTGTCTTAGCCACTGAGACACTTAGATCAAGTCCTTATTCTCCTCTGACACAAAACAATCGTTCCTCAGGCCGGTCAAATTCTACGGTTGCTTCAGATCAACTTCACCCAGGATGCTCCACCCAGGGACAGAATTGCAGCTTCTACCACAGGAGATGCAGCTGCACAACCCACATTAAGAGATCAGAGAAGCTGCCATCCCTGCACACACTTCGAGGACGCGCGACGCCAATTGTAGACTTTCCAACTCGTATCGGTTCCCACGTGCGTTTCTCCCGGGCTCAGCTCAAGCCAGGAACATCCCATGGATAACTGCACCCGACTGGGTGAATTACGAGCGGGCGAAAAGGAGACTTCTCGAGAGAGGACCGCAGAAAGGCGAAGAGCCAGCGCCGCCCGCGCAGCCTTTTTTTTTTTTTTTTTTTTAAGCCGCTCCTCCTCACCTGCGAGCGCTGCTTTCGCGGCCTCGGCTCAGGCGATCCGAGAGCCTGCCGAAAAAGGCCGCCAGAGACGGCCTCCCGCGGGGTAAACAATCCAGCAACCGCCGCCAGAGCGCTGGGGCCGCGGCAACTACCGCCGCCGCCGCCATGGAAACCCGGCTAGTTCTGCTTCCGGGTGTTGAAGTTCCGCCGGTTCCGCTTCCGGTCGTGGAGATGGAAGGTCTGAGACAAAGGCGAAGGGTGGGGAAGCTGAGCGTTAGAATTAGAATTAGGATGATAGAGTTGGAAGGGAGCTTGGAGGTCTTCTAGTCCAGGGGTCTCCAACCTTGGCAACTTTAAGCCTGGAGGACTTCAACTCCCAGAATTCCCCAGCCAGCTTTGCTTTGCTGGCTGGGGAATTCTGGGAGTTGAAGTCCACCAGGCTTAAAGTTGCCAAGATTGGAGACCCCTGGGCTGGAAAATTCCCTCCAGTTTTCTTGGCAAGATTTTCCAGAAGTGGAATTGCCATTTCCTCTTTCCTAAGGCTATGAAAGTGATGCTCTTCCAGGGCCATTCAGTTGTCTTTGTCCCTAAGGCGAATCTAGAAGTTATGATGTCCAAGTTTCTAGCGTAGCGCCATAATAATTACACCAATCTGGTAAAGCCAACACATAGATAACTGCATCCTACTAGGAAAAGAGAGTCAAAGAGTCTCTGTTCTGGGCATGTGCACTTTTTTGGAAGAAAGGCAGAAGCAGATGACCTCAGATCAGCAATCTCTTAAAACAAAGAGTAGGCAAAATAATCCAGAAAGAAGGGACACAATGTAAATCCTTAACTTTATACTCATACTATACAACTCTCTTTTGATCAGTAGATCACGAGGTGCTGAAGAGTCAGCGCCACTGCATTCTTATCTCCAACCGTTTGGTAAAGAAGAGGAGAGCAGATCTCTGTTACTTTATTGAGGGAAGAAGAACAGACACGTTTTTTTGGTTTTTTTGTTAACAGTAGTCTAAAATGAAAAAGAAATATTGTTTATACAGAACCGCATGTATGCACTTGCTTGTCTTCTCCAAATAAAGTGAGGAAGCTGATCTCTACCTTTTTGGCAGCCTAGAGATAGCTGGGTTCAGAAGTGGAGAGGTAGATGAGAAAGGAACTGCTGACACACAAAATAATCTCTGAGAATGAAACAATTGTGAGTGACTGGATAGTGACCAGAGACGCCACCTCTTTGCTGGCTGAGGAATTCTGGGAGTTGAAGTCCGCCAGACTTAAAGTTGCCAAGGTTGGAGACCCCTGTTCTAGTCCAACCCAAGTCTATGCCGGTTCTGCATTAAAAGAAGCAACTCCTGGAAGCTTATAGCCAGAATAAGCAAACAGAAGATTAATGTGCACTAGGAGTGTTGGTAGGTAAGGCAGGGAGGAAAAATTATTGTGAGCTCCAAAATACATGCAGTGATATTTGTCTTTCTGTCTAAAGAGGACATAAAAGCGCAACTGCTGCAAATGCAAACTTTTTTTGCTTATTGGAGCAGACAGTAAAAGACATTAGAGAGTTGCTACATTGTATTGCATTAAGGAAGATGTTAAAGTTCTTTAAAGAAGTTAACTTCTTTAACTAAAGAAGGCAGGAGGATCGAAGTTTTCCAGGAGGGGCAGGCAAATAGAGACAACAAGGCAACACAAAATAACGGGTGGGAGGATACTTTGACAGGCAAATATATGGAAGGTAGTGACCCAAAAAAGCAAAAGATTCTGGAGGCACGTAGTGTCAGTGAATCTAAGACCTGGTACTGTACTAAACTGTCCCTCTAGAGGACATTTGACAGCCACCTGGACAAACTAGGTCAAAAACATTGTAGGAGACACTGGGCCTGCCATTGATTAAAAAAAAAAAAACAACCCCAAGAATTGCTTTGAGAAAGAAGAGGCATGTCATGGTATTGCCTGATTCCTTGATATGAGGAAGCTGTATGCAGACTTGTTGTAATGTTGAGTGAGGTGTGCTGATTTCCAGATATCTATATACAGAACATAATGAAGAAGTCACCAAGATTACTCATATCCACTAAAAACTACCATATTGTTTCTTTTTGGTTCATGTGGGAACAATCAATCAATCAGAATAGAGCCGGAAGGGACCTTGAAGGTCTTCTAGTCCAACCCCCTGCTCAGGCAGGAACCCTATACCATTTCAGATAAGTGACTGTCCAGTCTCTTCTTAAAAACTTCCACTGTTGGAGCATTCACAACTTCTGGAGGCAACCTGTTCCACCGTCAGGAAATTTCTCCTTAGTTCTAAGTTACTTCTCTCAATTCCCATCCATTGCTTCTTGTCCTACCTTCAGGTGCTTTGGAGAATACTTTGACCCTCTCTTCTTTGTGGCACCCCCTGAGATATTGGAACACTGTTATCATGTCACTTCTACTCTAGACACACCCAATTCCAGCAACCATTCTTCATGTTTTATCCTCCAATCCCCTAATCATCTTTGTTGCTCTTCTCTGCACTCTTTCTAGAGTCTCAACATCTTTTTTACATCATGGCGACCAAAACTGAATGCAGTTTTTAAAATTCATAATTAGTCATTCCCACTTAATTCAATTGTGCCTATTCTTATAAATGCATAGAACATAGCAGTGATAGAAACCCAAGTGGTTTTTTATCATGTTGAATAATGTCAATCAGCATAATGAATGGGAGTTGTATTCCAAAATATCTGGAAGATAGGAATTGCATTCAATCTTGCTGTTGAGCATTAAGAAACGAAAATAGGTCAGAATTACTTAGAAGGTTATGAGAACCACAAACCCTTGTACTACCCTCTTCAATGGCTGTGGAATTATCGAAACAGAAGCCATATCTCCAATTTATGAATTGGCAATTCTAAATTGGAAGGTTATGGCAAGGCATAAATTGCCATTGTTTGAACTTGTCTATTAGACTGAGGATCAAATGATGAAATGCATATTGCATGCTTTTGGAAGTATTAGTAATCCTCGAGTCACGGTCTTTTATTCAGCAACCGTTCAAAGTTACAACAGCTCTGAATGAGAGGGACTTACAATTGGTCCATAAAGTTGCAGCTGTTGCAGTATTTCCAAGCCATGTGATCACAATCCAGTCACTCAGTGATCAACTGATTACATCTCAGCAAGTCACAGTCACATGATCATAATTTCTGATGTTCCCTGCCAGCTTCCCATAAGGAAAGATGATGGGGAAACCAGAAAGAAATTGTTCCTGCTCCCACAGCTTTTTTGCCTGTCCATAGTCCTTAGTGCCTGCCTCTGGAATGTTTGCCCATGGCATCCTGCTAACCTGAGATTTCCACCTCTTCCTGTTTAATGTCCTGTGCAGTCCTGGGTTACAATAGCAACCAGGACTACAGGATTACCATCACTAAGTGATGTGATCATATGACATATTACCACATCACTTAGCAATAGAAATTCTGGACCCAATTGCCATTATAACCAGAGGGCTACCTGTAATCCACGTTATATTCAGCTTCTTCCCAAGAAATGGGAACTGCAATCATTCAGGTAAGGCCAATTCTACAATTCTCTCTGTAATTACTGGAAATGAGATCTATTAAATATAGTGGCACTTATTCAAACATAGGACTGGTTATTCATTTGTTGTAAAAAGAGCAATAGTGCACCTAAGTACATAGTCCTTTTTCCATCCCTCCTATCAAGGATGGACTCTCACCAGTTCTGTTTAGTTCATGGTTCGTGTTTTACTAAAAATGCCACCTGTTCAGAAATAGTGCATATCCAGGCCTACTGCATCACCGGTTCTCAGAGATTTCTGGGCAATATTCATCCTGATGCAAAGGACGTAGCAGGCCTTAGCATAGACCAGGATGTCCATATAGTTTTTCCCTGCATAGTAGCTGCTACTGTGGCAATCAATAACACCACCTCCTTCCTCTCAGAAATCTTCAGCAACTGCAGCAAAGAGGCTATTCCTGTTCCCTCTTTTTCCCCCACTCCTTTTTCTAATGATGGCATATTCCAAGATTCAAAGTGCCATTTTTGGCTTTTCCTTTTGCTTCTGGGTAGCCCAACCACGTCACTGTAGAAAACACAAAGGCAACTGCTTCTGCTTCTGCTTCTGTTGCCACCATGCAGACAATTACTAGGGTCGCCATGTCTCTTCCTCTCAAGTGTGCCTCTGAACTCTGAAGATGATGAGCCAAGAGGCGAACTAAGAAAATCAAATTCAAGGCACATGTTTTTTTTTTCTTGTTCAGTTTATTCAGTCAGAGACAAAGGGGAGAAAATTAGAGTACTTAAATTCCATTGAAATTATACTTACTGTTTCCTCACAATAGGTGCATCTGCTATGCAAATAGATTGAGAACTATAAATGGTTTAATTAACAAGCACTTATGTTCCTCATAGGTTGGTCCTGTGCGGGTATCTTCACATATATGTTCCAATATATTAAAGTAGCCCAACAAGAAATAAGGAGTCATCTAAAACATACAGTATAAGCACTGTAATAGCCACTATGTAGATCACACAGCCAGAAAATACTTTTAATCTCACTACACATGGACAGATTCACAATAGATTCAACTTGGTGAGCCTTGGTGGTGCAGCAAACTAAAGTTCTGTTAACTAGCACCAGCTGCCTGCAATTACTGCAAGTTCAAATCTCACCAGGCTCAAGGTTGACTCAGCCTTCCATCCTTTCGAGGTAGGTAAAATGAGGACCCAGATTGTGGGGGCAATAAGCTGACTTTGTATAAAAAAGAACACCGCTTGGTGGGGGGGGCGAAAGCCCTACTAAGCAGGTATATACAAAAGTATGAAGGCTATTGCTTAACGCATTGTAAGCCACCCTGAGTCTCCGGAGAAGGGCGGCATATAAATTGAACCAATAAAATAAATAAATAAATCAATCAATAAATAAATAAATCAATAAATAAATCAATAAATAAATAAATAAATAAATAAATAAATAAATAAATAACTGGGAAACCTTGAGCATTCTAGACCAAGCCAATTCCAAAAGTGCTACGGAATTCGTGGAAGTTTGGCATTCAGACAAATCAGCCATCAACAGATACATAGAAATGAACCATATTTATCATTCAAAAGAGACAAAAAAGCTAAGAGGGAAACAAAAAGACCAAAACATATCCTCTCCAGCAGCCAACATCCAGATAAGTAGGGATTAACCTCCTTAATCAATCAATCAAGCAGACAACAATAGCTAAATCAAAGAACTACTAAGGAGAAAACCATAAACACACCACCAAAACAGGTAGGACAAGCTTCTGTTTATAAATAGGAAACAAACCCCACACTCACTGGCACTGATGATGTTACCTAGTCAGATAATGAAACATCTGCAAGCAAACAACCAAGATCAGAGAGTACCAAGGACTCCGTAAATTCTAAAGGATTCTATGGCGCTTCCTTCTACATAAGCAATCTCAGGATCCCAACTTTCAAACATAGCTATAGCCGCCAGATAAACAGTTTCTATACCGTGCAGCAGCTTGAGTTTCCATTTGCTGTATCTTGAAATAGTTCAATAGTTATTTAGAGAGCTTCAGCTGCTTTCCCAGCACCAAGGAATAGAAAACCTTTTACTTTCCGAACGAAAGGTTTCACCCACAGTCTCCAAAAGCTATCAGAGCCTTTGCAATCTACTAATCTCCAAATCACTTCTCAAACAAATTACATCTTTTGTAGAGTGCTAGTCACATTTTTTTTTCCTGCTGACACCAGATCTTCTCTCTCCACAGTCAATTTCTGAGCTTGGGACTTTAATGTCTCTGTCCCCTATCAGATCAAACAAAGGCAGGAAATCCTGATTTAGGACTGTTATGGGCAGAATGTCTATAATTCACCCGAAGGCAAACCCATTGAAAATTCCCCAGTGCCCTTCATTCTCAAAATATCTGTCTGCTGTATGCCCATAGGCAATTGACAAAAACCAATGACATTCTTTTTAAGGAACGTGCCCTTTCATTTTGTCATTGTGGTTTTCACATCTGGCAGCTGGGCATTAAAATGCAATTGGGAGAACTTTCCATTCGGCTCGAGTGCAGGTTATGAATGTGTGCAAAACAGTTTT